TTATGACATTGGTTAACAACCCCATGCCATGACATGTCAACCCTCTCCCTTCTCAACCTTTTTTTTTTTTTTGAAAATATACATAGCCAAAGACACACCGTTTCAAAAATTTCTACATGCACACTTCAGTGACATCAATTACATTCTTCCAGTTGTGCTGATATTCTCACTTTAGATGAAGGTTTACAGAACAAAATAGTTTCTCATTAAACAGTATACATGTTGCCCTATGACAATGGACAACAACCTCACAACACATCAACACTATCCTTACTCAACCCTGGGTTCCCTATTACCAGATTTCCTGTCCCCTTCTGCCTTCTAGTCCTTGTCCTTGGACTGCTGTGCCTCATTAGTCCCATTTTGTTTTATGGGGCTGTCCAATCCCTGGCTGAACAGTGAACCTCGGAAGTGACTTCACCACTGAGCTAAAAGGGTGTCTGGGGGCCATACACTCGGGGTTTCTCCAGTCTCTTTGAGGCCAGTAAACCTGGTAGAGTCCCTTACTTTTAAGGTGGACTTTCAGAGAGATGGATGCAAATGATCACAGTTTGGGGGAAACGACCCCAGGGTGACTACTTCAGACTCTATGAAACGCCTGCCTTCATTGAGTTATAGTGGTTGGGACCCTGATTCATCCTAGGTGATTTTGCATCTAGCTTTTGACCTACTGAGGATTTAATTTCTCATTTTCTTTCCCAAAATTTGAAACTGATTACTTTCCACCAAATTATCTCCTGACTTACAGTTCAGTCTTGGCATCCAAGATCCTACCATCTCCTGGTTGCATTTCTGACATCGTCACCTCCACCGCAACTCTCCAACAGGAGTCATGCCAGCTCCATCCTGGCAAATGGTGACTTTAGGGACAGAATGGATTTGCTTCTTACCAAAGGCTTGGCAAACTATGTATCTATAATAAAAGCAAACTCATTGATCAAAAGTGTAGCATCATCATAAAATAAAACTCTGGAGAGCTTTTTATGCACATTTATAAACTGTATGCTAGAAAAGAAGAAAAAAAATATCAAGGAGTGAGGAGGAAGCAGCGATGAGTCAATACATCCTGTACAAAGATCTTTCTTGACTACTTTGTCATCTTTCTCTCAGCTTGTTGGTTGTTACAGTAAATAATTAGAGGCAGAGCAATTCTGAGACATTTTCTGTGAACATTGTTAAAGGAAATAAAGGTGAGGCAGACAAACGTAAAAACTACTCAGAAGCCATGAACAGAAATAGCTAATTATAGAGCTGCTATTAAAATACATTTTTTCCCTTCTTGAAACAGAATTTTTGTTTGATAAATTATCAGACCTACAGGGCCCATTACAGTCTCAGACTCCGAAGGTATTGATCCTCTGTCTCTTGCTGCCACATTTGTTCTTTCTGGTTCTTCTTCCCCTGAGACTTTTGCTGATTTCATAATTGAAGGGTGGAGTGGAGACTGGGGAAGTTACCAAAGATGACCTGCCGTATGAGGGACGGGTGTAGTATCTTCTGGGGCAAGAAGTTGGGATTTCTCTGTCTGTTATTTATGTATGCATGTATGTATGTATGTATGTGACTTTGACAACAGTAAAATTACATATCAGCGTATGATCGAAAAACCAAAAGCATTCAGATGCACGAAATACGCATACTTAACCCAAACAGTATTCTAGCACTGAGGATGTAGTTATCTTTTAAAAAAGGTACCATTTAACTCAGATTCCTTTGTATTTGGCCAATTGAAGATAATAGAGAACAAACTACTTTTACAACCGTGAACCTAGTTCATAGTCCAGAAGCTCTCAGGTTGTGGTAAATTTGATAACGAGCCATCTTCATTCTATAAGAAGATTTTGCTTTGAGTTGAGCTTTGGCTACAAAGACCATCTTCTTGCCTCTCCTCAGGGACATAGGGCGGAGTGAAGGGGATTCTGAGGATGTTTTCTAAGCTTTGAATGGTGGGGTATGGGAGAGGCAAGCTTGATTTGAAGGCAACTTAGGAGCAAGTGATGTGTCAATCCATCCTAGAGCAGCCTTCTCAATGGAGAAAGGGGCCTTGTTTGAATGACATTTTGACAGGAAGTGGGCATTCCATTCAGCTCCTGACTCATCCTGGGTTGTTATGTGGCAAACAATTCCCATGGATACTCTGACCAGCGTGCGTATACGCTGACCATTTGGCCTCAGGTGTGTTGCACTCATGCAAACCGAAAGTCAAGGAATAGATGTGGTGAAAAAAGATAGGGTTTCTCTTCTTTATTCTCCTAAACAAATTCAATTAAAGAAGTGATTTTAATAGAAGACTCATTTTAGTACTGAAGGGCAGTTCCAGACTGAATATATAGAGTGAAATGATTTTTCTTTCAACTTCTGAATTACAGAGTTTTAGAATACAGACTTAGCAGCTGGTAGGACCTCAACATATTCTTGCTTGTTGAAGATATATATTTATATATATTTTGAATTGGCATAACTCTGGAGTTGATAACATAAGAAAAGAAAAAGGAGAAGGGATTTAGTGTTTATTTTCTCCGCCTCAGGCCACACTCCCAAATCTGTTGAATAGTGTTGACATTGACGGTGTTGGGAAATCAGGGACGTGGGTCAGGTCCTCATTCCTTTCTATGGTGGGATTAACAAACAGTTGGTTGAAAGACGAGGAAGCAAGTGTCAGTTACAGGAGAATAACGTCAGATCTGTTCTGACAACCTGGCAATGGAAAACCTTTTAATCCACGTGGAGCCACAGAAGGTAGCCCTCGAATGCCAAGAATTTCAGCAGGACACGTGCTCCTTTCTTGGCTCTCACATTGGAGATGTCCTGCCCCGTGCTGGTCCATGGGAGATCGAGTAGGCTGCTAATCTGATGTTCTTATGTGTTGCTTGCCTGTCTCACAACTGTGACCTGACCACTAGGGCCTGAGATTTATGCCTGACATCTGGCACAAGTCATCCAAACAATACAGCCCTGAGTAGAAAGGCAGCAAGCGTGCCTTGGGCTGTCACTCAGACCCTGTCCATGCACTGGGTTCCCTGCACCCCTGACAAACACGTCTCGTTAGATGAATGTGCTTATCTACTTGGCCCTGTCTATAGCTTGTTCCTTTTTTTTTTTTTTTTTTTGAGGCCGAAAGCCTGTACAATAATTTGATTCTTTATGCTAGGCAGGATTTTAATGGTCATTTCTCAAGTTTCGCAGGTTCATAACCTCTGTAATCACAAGGCTAGGCATTTTTCTTCCTCAAGAATCTCAGTGAACAGGCAGGAGTCTGTCCATGTTATCAGCCCAGTGGCCCTCCTTTCATCCTTCTCTCTCCCACACATGCCCTTGTTGCTCCTCAACTCACCCACCAAGGCAGATCTGTCGGCTGCAGCAAGAGGTCGACATCAAAGCCTCTCCAAGCCAGCGGCTTGCTGCTAATGCTGGCATTCTAGAGAGAGCTGAGAGAGTGAGGGACAGGGAGGCCAAGGGAGAGTGAGGAAGAAGTGCTGGATCGCTTGAATGGCCTCTCAAACAGAAGGAGGCTGAAGAATAGAAACAAAACCTTCCTTTCTCCCCGCTCTTTGTGATCTCTCTGGGCAGAGTGGGCATGTAGGGTTGCACAGCCGGGTCTGAACTGCATCAGCACTCTTTCAGTTTACAAACAAGAGGCCTAATTTAGAAGAAAAATCTCCTATCTGATTATTTCTTTGTGTTCGTCCATGTGGGAAAAATGTCTGTTCGGAGACGTGGAGTACTGAGGTGGTTTGTTAACTCTTAAAGCTGAATCATGAGGGTGATGGGCAGTTGGGAGGGAGATCATTATTCAATCTTAATTTCCAGAGTAAAAATAAATATATTAAGGATTGTGAGTTGTGATTGCTATAGAAAAATATTAAGCAGATTTTATTGTTGCTATGTCTAACTAGCTTTTTCACAAGCAACACAGTAAATACTTGTAGTTTCGGATCAAATGACTCCTTTCCCTTATTTTTGTCTTATGACAATATCAAAGGATGCCCTTAGGGTCACTAATAGAGGGAAAGCTCCTGAGTTTCTTAAAACCTGCTGTGTCACCAACACTATCACACATGCAGATTCCTTGGGTCCAGACGGGCTGTATGCAGACCAGGAGTGCTGCCATGTAGGTTTCCCAAAAGTGATCAGCTCAAATGGGTTGGAAGGAAATGGGCAGAGGCTTCATGGAAAGGATAGATGACCGTTAGGTTTTATTATTGAATGATTCCACAAGGCTCTCCTGGGAAGGTTTATTGGTTTCTCAACAACAAAGGAGAGGAAGAAAAGTAAGACAAAAAAAAAATTGCATGGTAAGGAAACAATATTTTTTTCCTTAATATAACATCCTTAATTTCTTAAGAGATTAATTCAGAAAATATAAAGGATTCTACAACTCAAAAACGAAAAGATAAACAACCTAATTTAAAAATGAGCAATGGTTATGAACACACATTTCTCCAAAGAGTATGTACAAATGGTCAATGAGTACACAAAAAGATACTCAACATCATTAACCATTAGGGAAATACACTTGAAAATTACAATGAGATACCACTTCACATCCATTAGGATGGCTATTATAAAAAAATCAGAAAATAATAAGTGCTGTTGAGGATGTGGAAAAATAGGAACACTTGTGCAATTCTGGTAGGAGTGTAAAATGGGGCAGTCTCTGGAAAACAAGGTGGCAGTTGCTCAAAAAGTTAAACATAGAACTATCATCTGACCCAACAATTCCGGTTCTAGGTGTATACCCCCAAAATATTTGAAAGCAAGGACTCAAAGAGGTACTCGTACACCAGTTTTCACTGCAAGATTATACACAATAGCCAAAGGGTTGAAACAACCCAAGCGTCTATCAACAGATGAACGGATAAACAAAATGTGGTATATACATACAATGGAATGTTATTCAGCCTTAAAAAGGAATGAAATTCTAAAACTTGATACAACATAGATGGGCCTTGAAAACTGTTCTAAGTGAAATAAGCCAGTCACAAAAAGAGAAATATTGAGTATTGGCTTTGGTAGCACATATACTAAAATTGGAAAGATACAGAGAAGATTAGCATGGCCCTTGTACAAGGAGGACACATAAGTTGGCAAATGTTCCATATTTTAAAAAAAAGACAAATATTGATACTTATGTCAAATATAAGACACTTATATGAAATATCTAGAATAGACAAATTCACAGAGACAGAAAGTAGGAGTTACCAGAGGCTGGAGGGAGGAAGGAGGTGAAGCTATTGCTTAATGAACACAGAGTTTCTGTTCAGGGTGATAAAAATTTTGAAGATAGATGGTGGTGGTGGTTGTACAACATTGTGAATTCATGCCATTCAATGGTACACTTAAAACCTGTTATGATGTCAACTTCCATTACACACACACATTCACACATATGCATGTATGTATATGTGTGTATATATGTGTATATGTGTGTATATATATATATATATATATATATCCACAATAAGATAACAATTAAAGAAAGATAGTATCCCAGTCTTTCATAAGTTAGGTGAAGTAGAAGAAAACCCCTTTTGTGGAGATAAAGTATATTTTATGGAGAAATAAGATAAATCTGGAAATTGGTTTTAGAGCATGTTTGGCTTTCCCTCATTTTAGACAATCCTTTTGCATATTTTCCTAAATTCTAAGAAGCATTTCTTCAGTTGGGTACTTGGGGGTCTTTTGACTATGGGTGAAACACTGCACAAAGCTGTAGCTTGGTTAGACAAAGGGAGAATTCCACCATTTATGGCTGTGGGCAACCTCTGGTCTACAGGTAAGAGTGAGAACTGAGTAGGGATAATGAGCTTGGAGAGTAACTTCACTGTTATTTAAAACTAGAAACTGACCCATCTGTTCTCAACAGTTCAGATGTGTTCTTTCTTAGAAGCAGGAGGAATGCAAAAATATTTCATCTCACATTCGACCACTGATTGACTGGTAGTGGTTGCTTAAAATGCAGGATTGGATAGAATTCTGAGGACATGTCCGGGCTTACTGAAAAAGATGTTGTGATAGATTATTGATGTCTGCTTTGTGTGTGTGTGTGTGTGTGTGTGTGTGTGTGTGTGTGTGTGTGTGCAGCAATGATAATTGTCCTAGATACCAGATTTCACTATTCCTAGATTGGGCCCAGTGGTATCACTAGGGTTGGTGTCACTCAGTTGGTAACTCATGGTGTCACCCCCCTCTCATGGAGCTCCTCCCATACTAGATCACACAGAATACTTAGTAATGTTTTTTGTACTGATGTTACTTGTAAATTGTAATTCCCATATATCACTGAATGTATTGGCAATAGTAGTGACATGAACAACTAGCAGAATTGAAATTACACCTTTGAACTACAATATCATACGCAGAGCCTAAACGTATTCACGATTACATAGTTTCATGCAGTTATGTGAAAATTTGGAAAGAAAACAACAGAAATTTGAGGTAAAAACGTTTAAGAACTACATCAAAATGATGTTTATTTTAACGTTAAACTTTACTGTTACATGAGACACATTAATGGATTAGGTTTGGAAAGCTGGACTGAGAGCAAAAGAGAGCGAGCCACGTAATCTGACGGGCAGTTTCTGCTCTCAGGTAATCCATGTTCTCCTGTCTTCTCCTGGATACCCACGTTGGTACTGGAGACTTTTTTTTTTTTAGGTCTGATATTTTTTCTCCACTTGGGAGGACTTTTAGAAATTTTAAATCAAACTCTCCTCTCTTGGAGGGTTTTACCAGCCGGAAGTTCCTCGGACCTGTGCCCACGAAGGGAGGGAGGGAAGGGGAGAGTTGTTCTCCAAGTTGAATTGCTCTGTCCAGGGCTCCAGGGGGCCAGGCTGCTTGGAATGTAGTTGGGAGTCTTTTTGCCTCTCGGGCTGTGTCCCACTTTTTCTGAGCTCCAGAGGAGGTGAGTGCGTGCGCCTGCGTGCATGCCTGTCCTGTGCCGTCGGGTGCGCAGGAACCGGCTGGGTGCCGTGGAGGCGTGCGCCCCACATCCAGCTGGAGGGGAGGTTGGTGTCACGCCGCCTGACAGTGTCACTCGGTAAGGTTCGCTCTCCTCTACATCTTCCTAGTGATGCCACTGATGGGACCATCTAAAGAATGCTTTCATTCTTTCAGATCTTGGACTCTAACCAAAAACCAAACCCACTGAGGGTTTCCAAGGAGTGGCTGGTGGATCTGAACAGCTGACCTTTAAGCACTGCATCACGAGGGCTCCTCCTGGACTCTCGTGAGCTATTATTCATCTTTATTTTGTGTTGTAATGGATAATAAAAGCCCTGGTGGCCCAACTCTACTAACCAAAAGGTTGACTATTGGGATACACCCGGCGGCTCTGTGGGAGAAAGACCTGTCGCTCTGCTCCCAGAAGGATTACAGTCTAGAAAACCCTACTGAACAATTCTGTTCTGCCACATGGGGTTGCTATGAGTCAAAAATCAACTCAATGGCATCTAACAACAATTGATAGTAAATTGGCTTTCTTTTGTCTGGCATTCGTAATGGCAGACACCATCGGTCCCATTTTCCTTTTACTTATCTGCTTATGGGGAAGTCAGGACCTGCCTGTCTTTGCCGGGAAGAAGGCTTGTGATGGTTAATTTTATACGTTAAATTGGCTAGATTATAGCATCCAGTTGCTTGATTAAACACTAGTCTAGTTGCTGTTATAGTTACATGTGATTTAAATCAGCCAGCCTTCAGTAAGCAGATTACCTTTCATAATGTGTATGGGCCTCAATCAATCAGTCGAAGGCCTTGAGAGCAAAAAGGGAGATTTCCTAGGGTGTATTCTGCTTCCTAAGCCCTTGTGGAGCAGTGATTAAAGTGCTCAGCTGCTAAAGAAAAGGTTGGGGATTTGAACCCACCAGCCACTCCAAGGGAGAAAGATGAGGCAGTCTGCTTCCATAAAGGTTTACAGCCTTGTGGAGAGATTAGTCCAAAGGTCTAAGGGACCACATCTACCACAATCTCTACCAGACTGAGCCCAGCATAACTAGATGGTGCCCCCTACCACCACCGACTGCTCTGACAGGAATCACAACAGAGGATCCTGGACAGAGCTGGAGAAAACTGTAGAACAAAATTCAAACTCACAAACACAGACTAGACTTACTGGTCTAACAGAGACTGGAGAAATGAGAGCATGGCCCCTGGACACCCTTATAACTCGTTACTGAAGTAACTCCCGAGATTCACCCTTCAGCCAAAGATTAGACAGGCCCATGAAACAATAATACACGTAGCTCAACCGTGTATATGAGACTAAATGGCACACCAGCCCAGGGGCAAGGATGAGAAGGCAGGAGGGGACAAGAAAGCTGGATGAATGGAAATGGGGAACCCAAGTTTGAGAAGGGAAGAGTGTTGACACGTCACGGGGTTTGCAACCAATGTCACAAAACAATATACGTATTGTTTAATGAGAAACTAATTTGCTCTGTAAACCTTCATCTAAAGCACACACACACACATACACACACACACACACACACACACACACAAAGATTTACAGGCTTGGAAATCCTGTGGGGCAGTTCTACTCTGTCCTATCGGGTCGCTATGAGTTGAAATCAGTTTGCTGGTAGTGGGTTTTATTCTGCTTCCAGACCATAAATAGACATTTTACTAGCACTCATTCACTCTTCACCCTTCCAATCACCTGACTTAGGGATATGGGGACACAAAAATGCAGGACTCCAGTCTGTCATCTCATCTACCAATTAACTGGTCTTACCATGTTGTCCATCATCCTGAAATAGTTGGTTTGATAGAACAGTGAAATGGTCTTTTGAAGATTCATTTATAGCACCTTACAGGCTGGGGTAATATTCTCTAGGAGGCAGTTTATGCTCTAAATCAACCTCCCATATATAGGACTGTTTCTCCCATAGCCAGGATTCACAGGTCCAGGAATTAAGGGGTGGAAATGGAGTGGCATCACTCACTATTACCCCTCATTAGGAAATTTTCCACTTGGAAAATTTTTGCTTCCTGTCCCTAAGCCCTGCTGGTCTAGAGGTATTAGTTCCAAAGACAGAATTGCTTCCACCAGGAAACACAACAATGGTTTCACTGAACTGCAAGTTAAGAATACCGCCAACCCACATGGGCTTCTCATGCCTCTGAATCAATATGTATATAAAATCTTACTGGTTCTGTTTCTCTAGTGAACTCTGGCTAAGGCAAGGTCCATCTTGCTTAATTTAGGTCAGTCTATTCCTCTGACTGTGTTTTGGGACTGGAAATATAAAGCAATTCTAGACAAGGAAGTCTCCTTGCTAAATCACAATTTGCTACATTTTATCTATTCTCATGAGGGACTCAGAAGACACTCACTTATGACCTTCGTTCTGTGAGATGGTGGTGATTAGAGCTGCTTTATCCCTGAGAGGCTGAGGGGAGAATATCAGGATGATGAACGCAGTGTAGGAGAAAGATAGAGTCTGCTTCTCTGATGAGGTTGTTGAGCCCTGAAGTAGCCAACTTGGAACTGCTCTCCTACAGACTTCTTGTGATGTGAAAAAAAAAAAAAAAAAAAAAACCTGCTTGCAACCCAATTTGAAATGGGCAATGAAATCTCAGTGGAGATGATAGAGGGTGTCTGTGCAGGACAGAAGGAGGTTCTAAGAGCAGATTTTACTCTTAAAGAAAGGTACATTGGGAGAAATGACCCTTTTCTGCCTCGACATTGTTGTGTGAGCTGCTGTCACCATCATGCAGCCAGAAGGCAAGAAACTGGGGTACAAATGCCAACACTCTGAACAACCACAAAGTCTACTTTCCTGAACAATAATATTAAATATTTGTAGAGATAATTTACCCGTGTTTTATTTTTTGAAATTGTGTACTTCTTTAATTTTCATAGAATAATGAAACAAATAATGACAAAGGACTTAAATACAGAAATAAGTCATATGTTTGCAACATGTGAAGACCAAATAATATGATGAAATGTTATACAAAAGATAGTTTACCAAAACTGTTTTTAACAGTTTGTTGAGATCTATGTAACCTACAATAAGCTGAATATATTAAAAGTGTAAAATTTGACAAATTTGACATGTATATTATATGCCCATGAATACTATTTTCAGTGTAAGATCTTT